TAGGACACATCTTGATTCGAATTTGTACTGGCCAGTAAGAAAAATACGAAAATAAAAAAGAGTTAAGACATGATTAGTGTTTCCTTGATAGGAATAAGTTCCTAAAGGTCCTAGCAGTGTTATATTTAGTTAACAGGTGGTACGGAGAAACCATCTTCCCTGTTGAAATTAGGATGTTTTTTAATTTCAATGGCCTCTCGCAGCATCCTGGGTAGATAACAGACTTCTTTTGCAAGGACCTGGGGTTTGTCAAACTTCATTAAATGTGTAGGTTTATCCATGACATGCTCGCAAAACGTCGGTTTGTTTGAAAAAACAAATATACGCGATTTAAATCCGGAAAAATAGTTTCATTTCCTATGTGTAACAATCGCGAAAACCTAAGAACTCGATAACATTCTTGACTTTTCAGGATATCTAGTAAAGAAAGCGGGATGTTTTCACGGGTTTTGTACAGTTCAAGAAGGTTATTGATGAGGATTCTTCTAGCGACAGAAAAATGTGGGCAATCAAAAAATATATGATGCAAGGATTGGTTGGAGTAGTTACAGGAGTGCACGACGGGGAAGAAATCATTTGCATTCTATGCAGGTGTTCATTGGAACATGCATGACCAAGACGTAATCTGCAAATAGTTGTATAGAACTTTCTATGAATATATCTTCTTTTCTCAAACCCCGGCTGTACCTTTGCCACCAAGTGCCTTTTCTCAACAAAGTCTCCTGCCAGTGTTGCATCCATTTTTTAAGTAACTCGTCATTCATCAAGCTAACACAGTCAGAATCCGGTATTTTTATGCTTCTTTCATGGACAGCATCGGAGGTGGCGTTTGATATATATATACTTCGCATTAGCGACGCTGATACATTAGTATGAGCTTCTTCATTTTCAAGCACACTAATATGAGAAGGAGTCCAAAATAACAATATTTCTTTTCCTTTTTTGGTTATTTCAAGAGAATTCTTTTTATTTTGGCTATCGTAGAATATATTTAAAGATATACTGACCCACGAAAAAGTTTGCTGTGAACTGTACTCCAAAAAGTATATAGCTGTGCCTTAAAGGATGAAAAAAAAAAGAAAGCTGTGCCTACTTCATGGATTAGAGGATGGAAAAATTTGGATGGAATAATATAGAGCACAATACATAATATAGAGCGCTTAAAGTTAGGCAGTCGGAATTGCCCTGATTCAATAGTCTAGTCTAGAAACGCATGCAAGTAATTCATCCGATACTGTTTATGTCATATAACATATATTAACATTTACCAAAGTGGTCCTTAGTTTGAAGAGTCTGAAAATAGTAACCTCGGAAGCAGTAGGGGGACGTTGATGCTGTCTGAATTATCTATAAAACCCTGAATTATCTACATTAAACTACACTACAAATGTATTTTATTTTTCCTTGTGATTTTTTTGTGTTAAGTTAATATAAAAAATATGTAGGTAATGAAACTATTTTTCAACAAAAAATTTGACTATGGTAGTCAACTGTGACCATGGCACCCTGTAAAGGGTCCGAAACGTTGGTTTGTTTGAAAAAACAAATATACGCGATTTGAAAATACCTGAGAACTCAATATAAAAAATATGTGTTTTCGATTATTCTTTGTGGTGGTGGTGGGCGTTGAAAATTTTTGTATTCCAGCAAAGTCAAAACTCCGTTATAATTTAGGGGTTGCACTTTTATTGTTCACTGCCAATTAGTATACGATACAAAACAATTATACGAATTACACAGGTTTACTAGGAATTACTTATGGCGAGGAATATTGCTAGAATCGACCGGACCGGGCGCGCGACAGACCATGACTGACTGCGCACACGCGGAAGCCTAAAAACGTAGCGGCAGCATGGCAAGTGTCCCTACAATATTCCTCCCATACAACCTTTTTTGAAAAAAAACATACCAAAAATACGTCTACAAAGAATGCAATTACAAAAAATATAATTACAAAAAAACAATTACAAGACGCGCAAGTCAGCATACGGGCGCGTTCCCATTATGTCGTGACGAGAGATAGTCGTGCAGTTTAAAATGTCGTGGCTTGTATATACAAATGAAGTTGTTCACATATAGAACAACACGATTAACTGTTGTGTTGTTTTTGACGTTACGACGACATACTGTCGTGGCAATGAGAAGAGCTAGAACGACAAACAATACGTCACGTTATAATATGACGACAGACAATTGCAGCTTCAAACGATTCTGTCGTGCAAACGACAAGGCGGATGCCGTGAACCGATAAATTATCGTCACGATCCAGTGGGAACAGCTAGACGCGACAGTCGTTCAACGATAAAATAAACGTCCACTACACAGTCATCACGACAGATGGTCGTTATATGGTAACAGGCTGAAAGGGTTGGAACCCTAACAAGCCGTGACCAGGTTCACGGCAGTAAAATAGAAAATTTCAGGTCCACAAATTTATTTGAAGTCGGTTAAGGAGAAGAAAAGGTAACAAAAGAAGACTGTAACAATAAAAGGAATATAGGTACATTATCACAAAACACCCCCTAACTTGATGAATTTTAACATATTAAGTAGACACTTACCCCAAAAGGGCCGAGATATACTGAATTACAGATACGTATTCATAGGTACATGATAATGGCTGTAGTGGTTATAAACTTATTAAAATTGGCACACGATTTAAATTAGTAATGATTATAAATTTAGTAAAGGAATCAAAATTAGACGCGATTGAATTATAACAGCTCCGTATGCTGCCACGATCCAGCAGGGAGTGACGGTAGAACGAAACAAAATCAGAATGCGTGGCAAAAGAACTATGGAACAATTCAAAATTTAAATTTAAATCGAGTGGCCAGGAACCGGAGAAAAGCGATGAAAGGTGGGATGACGCATGTAAGCAGGTCACACCGTCACAACGCTAGACGCGAGGGATTCGCTCTGGACCTTTTGGAGGGAAAAGTGTCGTTTTTATTTTGACTTTCAATTATTTTGTGAAATCTAGTTTAAAGTGGAACAGGATAGTGCTATTGTGCCTTAATCGAAGATTAAAACGCGAAATTATTCGAATCTCGAACTAAAATACCCGTATCGGCCCGTTCTAAGGAATCCCGAGTCAATCCAAACACGCCGCCTCAAATTGCCTATCCTCTTTGTGGCGGCCATATTTACAGAAAAACTTATTTTTATGTTTCCGGCTGAAGGACTTTGTTTCCATGGCCAGAAATAAATTAATAAAAAAAAAGCTAGACGCGACCGTCGTCCAAGGATAAATAAAACGCTATGATCTAATGGGAACGCGTCCTTCCGTGCCAGTCAAGCAAGTTGCAAAACATACCCGTAACGACTTACAATTTTGTAAACAACTAGTGCTTAGCACTTTTGATAACATTAAACATGAATATTCATTAACATCACTTTAACTGACTACGCAGGCCTGGTTATGAAGAGTACAATTTACATTAAGTTACTTTAATTTTTGTTGTTGTTGGTAGGTACACTTATGCACTTAACAAAACTTAATGAGTTCTTAGGTTTTCGCGATTGTTATACGTAGGGAATGAAACTATTTTTCCAGATTTAAATCGCGTACATTTGTGTTTTCAAACAAACCAATGTTCCGAACCCTTTACAGGTCTATGGTCACGGTTGACTGAGGTGGTACAGTCATCAACCAGTTATGTCTAATATTAACGCATTCCACTCTATTTTTCCACTTCAGTTACAAGTTATTAATTAAATACCTTATTTTTTATTTTACAAAGAAACTTTTCAATTTACGCTACATTACGTTTTACAAATTAATTTATTGAATGAATTTTTGTCAAGTAAAACTTAACATTATTTAATAATAGAAATTAGAATAAATTAAAATATATTAATTAGTACTGCAGTCTTATGTTTGGGAGTTTTCGTCAGAAGATATACTGGATCCCAAACTGGTGGTACGGAGGTGGTACCAACCTACAAACTGGCTCAACACATGGCAAAGGTACTATCACCATTGAGAGGGAACACTTGTGAAGGATTCATACTATTTTACCAGTGGACTCAAATATCTACGGTTAACTGATGATGACACCATGGTCAGTTTTGATGTTCAGTAGATGTTCACCAACCCATCAGTAAAAGACTGAATTGAAATTGTACGTAGAAAGCCAAGGGAACATAATTATGTCCAGTAGAACACTGTCTAACATCAGGCTATCTATTATGGAATAATGAATTCTACCTACAAATCGACAGTATTGGGATGGCCCCTCCGGTATCTCCCGTTGTTGCCGATATTTACATGGAAGACTTCGAGGAGTGAGTTTTGCCCATGGCCCCACTAAGCCAAAGATTTTCAAACTGTACGTTGATGATACTTTCACAATATTACCTAAAGATAGCGTACCTTCTTTCTTGGACCATCTTAATTTTTTTGTACTAAGATCCAATTTACTATGGAACAAGAGAATTGTGGTTCTTTAGCTTTCTTGGATGATTTAATTAAAAGAAATTCTAATAACACCTTAGGCAATACTGTATTTCGAAAGGAAACTCATACAGATAGGTACCTCAATGGTAATTCCCATCACCATCCTAGCCAGTTAGCTACCGTGGGCAAATCTTTGTTTCAGAGAGCACATGGTGTTTGCGATAGTAATCATCTGGCAGGGGAACTTCAGCATATAAAGTAAGTCCTGCATGCGAATAAGTTGAAGATTCCACGTCAATGCCGCAAGCTCCGTGTGAAACCACCAAGAGTCGAGCGAAGACCTGCCATTTTACCTTACATGAGAGGTCTTACAGACAAGATCAGAAGAGTCCTCAGGGGAGCATCTATCAAGACCTATTTCAAGCTCCTGAGGAAGATTTCTCAGTTACTGAGACCCATGAAATGTAACATCTCTTACAGGGTGCAGGAGTTTACAAGCTTGACTGTGAGTGCGGTCTCTCTTATATTGGCCAAAGGAAGCAAAGTATTTGTATCCGCGTCAAAGGAATCTTTCGTATTCAGTGAAATTTACTACAGAACTTCTGCTTACGATTTTAAAACCTAGATACAAGATACATTTTGCAACTTCATGTACAACTTGGCGCTTTTGATGCATTTTACTCTACTGATCTAGATATTATCCTAAATCGCCTAATAGAAGAATTAAGTACAGTCGGTAACAAAATTGGTTCAGCATTTTTGAATAAGTGTCGTAGTAGGGGGAGCGGGGCAAATTCGTATATAATATATCATAAATTAATATGAATATAATGAATATTTTCTCTGCCTAATTAATGATATAACTAATAAACATTACTAATTTAATCTTTTTTACGTGAATAATTGAAAAGTTTTGATTTAAACGAAAAAAGGAATTGTCCAATTCTGCCCCACACATGGGGTATTTTGGTAAACCGCTTGGGGCACTTTGATGTGTGAATCTAAGTATGCCATTCCTAGTTACCAGCACTACATAGGTAATCAACTGTTCATAAAGTAATGACGGTATATATGCCTCAGCACTTGCCAGACTAGGCTTCTCTCTAGGGTTGGCGCGGGAGCCCTGGCGTAAGCTAGGGCGGCCGGGCGGCGTCGTGATGAATGTTCACTGATCCCACGGCGCCGACTCAACCGGCGAGAGGGAAACCCGGAGGGGTTTTAGTGGGGTAGGCCCTCCAGTCTGGAGGGAGAGTCCCCACATAACCCGTGAGTCTCCCTGGGCTCAAGGGTATCCATAAAGATTTCCCCCCGTAAAAAAAAAAGGCTTCTCTCTAGGGCACCATTTGAAAAGTGCTCTTTGTAATGTAGTCTTGGAAGTTACAGGAGGAAGAGCTGGCTATAGAGCAAAATGTCACTGGTTCACTCCTTTCTACAAATACTACAATGCAATCTGATATGAATGTGTACTTTGAAGTGTGCAGTTGTTTCTAATTTTTAAAAGCAGATTTAAATCTTCCAATGCGGTACTGTAAATTAAAAACGTAATGCATATTTATTTTCGTATTTAATTGCTGCTAGTCGTAAACACAGAGCGCTCGCAGCAACTTCAGACATTGCCGACATAATTTCGTTAAGGACTTCATTTTATGCCGTTATAATAATTATCCTCTATTTATGAACTAAATGAAGTTCGGCCCTGTCGCTTTTTCCTCCAAAGGAAAAAATGCTATGTACACACGAAGAGGCTGTATGGAAAAACCTTTGCTAAGGAAATACAAAATAAATCTGGACAGAATACGTCAAGCCGCTTTTATATCTCTTAATTCCTTAGACTATGGAAATTTCCATTCTCCAAGCATAATTCATTACATTCCATGATATTATATAAGTTTCCCGTTTTAAAAACAAGTCGTCAAAACACTCTGTATGTGGCTAAAATGCTTACCGCGAAAAGCCAAGAGAAATAAGAAAAAAAAGACGAGGCAGTATGGTCTTTGGCCCTAGCCTGTCCTTTTTGGACGAATAGAACAAAAAAAAAACAACGTCAACGTCACTTTCATTGTCTACGGTCAACTATTTTCACAAACAAAGCGTTTGTGCAATTTTATGTTGATAATTATTAATGAAAAAGTTTAAATATCTTGGCTAACGTTGACTATTCTATAAGTCATAGATATAAACATCAGAAATATATTAATTATATACATCATATATTTGTTTGCCGCTTGTTGTTCGAAGTATTGATCGAGTTGGTGAAGATGATTCCGAACGAGATTTTCGCTGAAGATCTGATGAGTACTGTCATCAGGTATGGTCTTTATATCGGAGCGGCTTTCCAGCTGGTGTGCCTGCTCGCCTGCGTGACCCTCACCGACGAGCAGAGCGAACCACATCCCTATGAAAAGGTTAGCTGCATAAATAGTGTTTTTTTTTCATAGTTTTAAGGCTTAAAAACTATCTTGCGTTACTTTAATGACAGTTTGCCCTAAAAAGTTATGAACTTTTTCAATAGGAAACGTTTTTTATACAGTAAAGATGGCTACATTTACACCCAATATTTTGTGAGTATTTACTCACGAAAAATTTAGTTCGTTCTGTATGAAATTTGCGGTTTTATTACAACATACAAATTGTAGACAACTCTAAATGAATGCAATGTATTGCTAAATTAATTTATTTATTTACTGTATACAAGACATATATGAAAATGTCTTTATTATCTTTCACAAAAGAAACTTATACCATACCTATGATCCTCATATGTTATTAAATATAGTTTAATTTGTGAAAGTCTGGGGTCCATACTAGGATTAACCTGTGTTATAAAGCACCAGGCTCTCTCCCTTCCACCTCTATGCAGTAAGAAAGATATATATAAGATGAAAGGCTATGTCTACTTAAATAATTTAAAAACAAAGCAAAAAATTAAAATTAACTAAAAAAAAGCCTTTATTCACTGATTACTTCTTAATTAATTCTAAGTTTAATGTAATGCTTACTTGTAACAGTAATAATTCTTAATTCTAACATCAGCGTCGGTTCTGGTTCTAATCAGGTTTTCCTCTGACATAGGCATCCTCCATATTTCTCCATAAGCAAGGGCCTTGTGCTGACCCGCACCATTCTCTGGTCAGATGAAAATTAACTGTTGTTAAATTCGCTTTAATTATATTAGAACAAAATTCTTGGTACAACATATGTACGTGTTTTTAAATATTATATTTATGTGGTGCATATATAACTAAGAACATAATCTAAGTACAGAGTACTCAAAAAATCAACCTCTAAAGTTATTTATCTCCTAGTTTGGCACCTTTAGAGGTGGAATATTTTCTTCAAATTCAAATGGGACCACTTCTGAGGTACCCTCTTTCCAACAAAAAAATGAATCATCAAAATTGATTCACAATGCCAGAGTTATCGAGTAACATACATACAAAAAAAACATACAATCAAATTGAGAACCTTCTACTTTTTTGTAGTCAAAAAAATATACAAAAGTACAGCTTGTTTCTTAAGGTTGTTGACTATATGGATAATTTTGTTTTATGGTATCAAGTGACGGAACAAACTTATTTATTATGCTAAACTTCGAAACTTACGTTTACTTCTCCAGAGTTACACGGACAGTGATGAGTGCAGCTCGGAGCAGTCATCACCAGGTCACCGCGCCACTATGTCAAGAGCGCGGAGACATGACAAGAAGAAACGTCGCTAGCTCAGATCAAAATGATGAAGATGAACTCATGTTATGTGAAGTGTATTTTGTGACTTTGACACTCATCGGGCTTTATTTTTGTTTTGATGACAACTTATATTCCAGTGTTGGGGAACAATCTCTCCTAGAAGTAATCTTTGAAGTTGTTTTCACCCTTATATCCACGATTCAACGCCGTAGCTACCTTATGCATGGAATATAAGGTACGCCAGAGACACCATAATTACTTGCCTATATTCTAAGACAAACAATGTAGTATACCAGTTTAACCCAGGATATGTTGTAGTATTGAAGACAATGGAAGGCTCAATACCTTTTCTGAAATAGAATATATGGACTAGGTTTGTATTATAGGATTTTACGTTTAACTATCAAGTTGGTTTTCAATATAACATGTAAACCCAGGTTAGGAATATGTTTGTACACATCTGTAGAGTTACGCTTCCACATTTATATGGTGTATGGGTCAGGAGATAAATTGTAGCTGACTTGTTATTGGAAAGCTATAATGTGGATCTTTACAAAGCGAAACTTAATAAGCATTATTATAGGTGTGCATGCTCCATATCGGCGACCTCATTGTTCAGGAGATGTGGAGGTATTTAAACTCTGCAGCCACATGTACAAGACTCAGATCTGGCAGTGGTAAATATGAGTGGATGATAATGATCTCTCACACAACTGATATTTGAAGTAAAAATAGTTTACACTTTTATTTAAAGTATTTTTAAAAAGATTGTGTTGAAAACTTTAGTTCGTAACGAATGCCACGATTTTCAAGGGAAAATATTCTATTTGTAATTTTTGAAGACCTTGTCTAGACGCTATTTGCAGGGTAAAAATATCTTTTTAATTTATAAGGTCCAACTTTGATCTCTGATTTTTTTTTACTGACAACTGAGCAGTTGCATAGAGCAGTCTGTATCTCAGGTGTAAATCCATTTACATGTACAGAGTCAAGAGCACGTCAAGCTAGACACTTAAGAGTCAATTCTATGCCCCGTACCATAAGGTGGTTCAAAGTCAAGCTTGATCATGCCCTTACTGTACATAATGATATTTGTCCAAGCTTCGGAGTTATAGCAGTTTTACGGTAACAAGAGGCTATCATTCAGTAGCTTGATACAAGAATTGTTATGGCACTTGTACAGTCAAGAGCACATCAAGCTTGACACTTTATACTTTGGACCGTTCTTGTCGTAAGCGGCATAGAGTTGGATTTAAGTCTTAACTGTCAAGCTTGACGTGCTCTTGACCCTGCACCACAGAATTATTATGGCGAAACTTTGTGGTATACATCACTACAAAATCAACTTTATACTTATCTAAACACTAACTTTGGATTGATTCATTTAGTACGGTTTCAAAGCTTTGATACTCCCAAGAATCCAATAATTCAAATGTGGCATGTCATTGGGTAACTATAATCGAATGCAAACCTTATATTTAAAAACTTAAGGTAAACTTTTAATTGTAGTAGCAATCCGATGTGCGTGAAAGCTAGTGTCCAATATACATTACATTGAGATAGGTTAACAAAATAATCGTTAACTTCTATAAAAGTAGAATAGCTGCGAATTTTCGAATTTAGGAAGTAGTCGTGTACTCAACTTGTATAACTATGAATACTCAAATTGTATAATTACTGTAAGTACTCAGTATGTATAATTACTCAACAGTTATTATATATGTTGAGTTTTGACCGTAATTATAAAGTTTTTGAAAAAAAAACCAATATAATATGGATCAAAATGTATGTAATGAACAATGTAATCGTTCTTGTTGTTACTTTACTAAAGGGTGTTTATTACATGCATATGTGTAGGTATCTGTTTCTATAACTCATATAATATATAATACACACACACCATTATACAGGAAGACGTTTTAAAAACCATTCAAATTTTAATGTTATATGGAAAAATAAAATTCGTGTTTTTGTCTTAGTATCACTTAGTACTAAAATACAGAGATATAGGGCACTAGAAGTTATTTAAAAAAGCCTATCTCTCAGGTCCCAAACTAGGGACTTCCCTGTACAATGATTACCAGAGAAAATAATTCACTCCGGGGTACTACCCAGAACACCAGAACTAATTTAGAAATGTTCACTTCCCAAATTGGTTCTACCAGCAAAGGAACCTGGAACCACCTTATCCAGCACCCACAGTGGGTACAATATGAAATATAACTTGCAAATTTTCCCTTCATTCTTTCATGGGCTTAGAACCATCAAATTGCTACAGACTTGTGTTGTTCATTTAAAATCATTATCAGCCTATTGTAGTCCACTGCTGGACATAGGCCTTTCCAATGTTTGCCATTTCGCAGTACCTAATAATACCTGATGTCTAGAAATAATTTGGAAGGTCATAAAAAGTCACTGTATAATGAGAACAATTCTGCTGGAAAGGTAAAACATCTAACGTGCGTTTGAAAAATGTTACAGGAGCGTGATATAGAGTATTTTTTTTAAGAAATAAATCATAACTCTGATTTTATTTGTTGTATGGAAAAATTGAAACTGTCTAGTTTTCCATATAACAAATAAAATTAGAATGATTTTTTTTTCTTAAAAAATTACTTTGAATCGCTCTTCTATATTTTCCAAATTCAAGTTAGAAATTATACCTTTCCAGGGTCTAATAATACAATATTATTGTATTATATTATGCAGAATAATGTAATGTGTTTTGTCACTCAATGTTACATAATTAATAGTTCTAAAAAAGGATGGAAATTGATTAAAATTAATTTTAAATTTTAAGTGACAAAAAGTTTTACTGTAGTATTTTTATTAGATAACGTTGTAGTTGTGTAAAAATTGGTATATTTATTGTTTCATAGTATATTATGTAGTAATGTTTTTGATAGTTGTATGTTTATGTAATAAATTTTTAAGTTCAATGTGTAATAATTATTGAACTTAAAAAATTATATTGGAGTACTTTATTTAGAAGATTATTTTAAGTAGAAATAATAATATTTTATTTTTCTAAAAAGCATTTATTTGTTACGTTGACTAGAAACCTTACAGCATAAAATATTATTTATTGCTCATAAGACTTATTGCAAATAACTATTAAAACTTCATAAAATTATTCAACGTTTTGTACATTTTAAGTACAACATATAAGGCACAGATGTTTCAATATAGCACCATGGTTTTTTTAATAATACATAAACAAATCTGTATTATTTTAATATAAATGTACTATAAATTCTTTCATATAATGTACACAAAATAACATCATATATTATATTAAAATAATTTTATATAACAAATGGCACATAATACTTACTGGTAGGATTCTTTGTGCAGAACCAACGCACTATATATTTCTATAGTAAAGCAGCTATGTTATGTTCCGCATTGGAGGGCTGGGAGCGCCAGCGCAATCACAAGTTACGGGAAACTTAAAAGTTTATGTTCTGCGGTCGGTACCGCACTTGCAATGTTAAAGATACTCCCCTAATATCTTGAATATCTAATGGGCGGCGGTAATCACTCTCCAAGGTTGGACAGTGACCTTACACTTAGCTGGTTTGTTAACCATAAAAAAATTAAACTGGAACAAAATACATTTTGAAAAATCCATACGTAAGTAAATGTAATTCTACATTGCACTCTATTCATATACTATATCAATGTAACATTGCACTTATCTATTGAAATTTTATCACAATGTGTTATTTGGGTACTTTGTTTTTACCTAATTATTTTGTCATACTGCATGTTTGTTATGTGACAAGGAGAATTTCTATGCTTGGCCAAGTTAAAGTTTTGCGCATCAATTCAGAGAACAAACCAAGGCATTTTGTTCTACTCACCACTTATAAACTCGTGTTATCTGGCAATTATAAAAATACAAATAAATATTTGTCAAGCAAAGATAAGCAACATTCATTAAAGATGTCGGCTAACACAGATATTAAAAATATATATAAATGTAATAGTACTTAAATAGATAATGTTGAGGAAATAGCGATAGGTAATGCATAAGGAAGTGAATGCTTTTGTAAGTAAATTAAATGCAATGATTACAGCGACTAGCTAAAGACTCGTTGTTAAATTCAAATTGTGAGCTTTGAACGCCTCCAACATCGCTTCATTATCCGATAGAAATTGTTTGAACGCATTAAGTTTTTTAAAGCAGATTGTCACACAGCATGATTTAGATACAGCAGCGGTATTGTTAGTATTACAACACGACACTGTTTGTGATGTACTTTGTTTAGCTGGATTGTTCGTACAACAGCCCTTCCCACTTTTGTCGTTACACGAACATTTGAAACTCTCTATTGCCGATTCTGTTTCGTCGTCACATTCATGAAGGGTATAAACTCCTAGATCTTCTAAATTAGAATTGTTATGCCTTCGGTGATAATGCAAGAATGTATTATGATTTTTGTCTGTTGCTTTCCCGCATCCAGTAACGCATTTCATACTGGCGTGGTCACATTTGCAATCAACACAGGTGCACGTGTCTGCTGTGCACTGATTAGGCCTGTCTGTGGTCTTATCTGTGCAACTTTGACATTCTCCATCTGATGGATCACATTTGCAGTTTGTGCATGAACAAATTCCAGCGTCGGCTGCCAGTTGCTTTAATGCATTCCTTTTTGCTATCTCTTTCCCGAAAATATTTTCCGTCCTTACCACATACATATCTGATGGTGGTTCGTTATCGAATAATAACGTGTCTTCTAAAGCTAAGTCTGTGTTAAAGAGCACAGATATTGCTGGATTAATTTCAATCTTCTGTTGCACTTTTGATGGTGGTGGTGGAGTACTCAAAAGCCTATCAACTTCGTGCTCGGGTGTTTTAAGGAAATTGTCACTGAAGAGCACTGTTTCGGATGGGTTAAATTCTATTTTTTCTTCGGCTTTTGATGTCGTTAATATATTTAGTTTATCATCGTCTGAAGAGCATAAGAAGGTATCATCGAAAAGAATATTATCTGAATTGTGGATTGCATTTCCTTCCTTTGTTGGAGGCGGAGTGTTTAGCGATCTGTCTGGAGAATCAGTGGTGATGTGCAAAAAGTTATCTAACTCTTTATCGAGTTTACTGCACTGCATGTTTGATATTAATTCACTGTCATTGAAAACTTTTTCATTGACATCTAATATTGTTGGTGTGTCTAAGTTGAAAGAATTTTGTGACACCAGGTTTGCGGTCGGCGGTACTTCTTGATTCAAATCTATGTAGCTTTGTATATGAGTTGGAACAAACGTGGCTAGTGTAAATATATTTTCTGGCGTTTTCTCCTTTATGCTTACTGGAGTTTCTGAAATAGAAGCAGCTAAAGCACTGACGTCCACCCATGGGGCTTGTACTTCAATTTCATTGGCAAGAGCGAGTTGCATGGCTTTTGATTCCACTTCTAGCTTACAACTAGTTCCTGGTTGTGGCGGTATTATCGGGCGCAGATCTCCGACTTCCCATGAACTTACATCAGGGTCCTTTTTGTTATTTTTGGTCGCAGCGAAATGAGATATTGCGTCTAAATTAGTTACGTCATAATCAGCTAAATTGTCAGTTTCGTTATGTTTCATGTCGGCATTAGAGTGGTCAAAAAGCAGTTCTGTTATATCTACGGTGTTATTAGTGCATTGCATTTGGGTATTGGCTCTATTGATGTCTTCGAGGCTGCCGTCAGTAGAATTGGACTCTGTGGTGATTCGACCAAAGGATTCGAGAAGTCCGTCCCAGTTCATGAAATCTTGCACTGGCTTTGTTGAGATAGAAGGCGATGTCGATGTTATTGGAATTGCTTCAATAACTTTGATACTTGGTGCTTCAGCTTCGATCTGAATAAAATACCAAATATGCTTGCATTTAATAGGTATTACCACATCTACAACATAATGATGTTTAGTAATTTATCATTTCGTACTATATATATTATACAATCTTTTAATTGTGTTAAATTACTTTTGTTTAAACGCCATTGAAGTAAATCGACCTCCTATTTACTATTAATGTACAATATAATGTATGAAAATATTAATTTCAAGTTTACAATTAGAAGAAAAGACGATTTTCGTAAAAATTCAGGTTTAATTATCATCAGTTATCGGGTAGTTGGAATCACAGCTTTTATTTTGGAGACATAACGCACCTGATGTTTTTTAGCATGAGCCCGGAGACTGGTTGTTGTGGAGAAAAGCCGACCACAACCCGGCGCCGCGCACGCGTAAGGCCGAGATCCTGAATGAGTCCGCGTATGCGCCTTAAGGTGGTGTGATGCAGTGAAGGACTTGCCACATCCGTCTGATTTGCACCTAGGGAGTTTACGTTCTCTAATGTTAAAGTCAGCCATTTCCGCATTGCAGCTATTTAAAGTCTTCCAAAAAGGTGTACTGGTTTTATTCTCCACGTAATCTACTTAGATTCGGAAAGTCTATTGAAGGACGTTTCAATAAAAGCTAATGAGTATCGAATTTCATTAATGAAGCACGAAAAAGAATTCTTCGTACATTGCATTGCAATTATGATTTTATCTTACTTGTAAGGTCTTTCTTGCGTATGTGTTCGGATATGTTTCTTCAAGTCACTAAGAGTTGTAAAAAACTTTGCACAGCCGTCCGCTTTGCAATTAAATGTATCTCCACTGTGTAATCTTTGGTGTGCTCGGAGTCTGAAAGAAGGTTGTAAGGTAACCGTGATCACCCTATCTCGGTAAAATGTTGCGTTATTCTCCCAGCGTTAAAAGAACTCTCGAAGAAGTTCCTTTTTAAGGCAATAATAGAAAATGGCATAGAAGTATATTTACTTCTAAACTATTCTGACGTCAAATAAATCGCTCTTGGTGTTGTAAATGAAAAGCCACAGAGCAAACATGAAATCTTATTGGCTTAGTAGGAACAGTGATACGATCTGAATTTGTGCTCATGATACGTTGTTTAACAGGTGCACATCAGGAAATAATATCACGTAGTTGCTTATTGCAAGTTTTAATAATATTTGCATAAATCATTTACTACGCGAAAAGCCAAATAAATGTGGATGACACATGATAGTTAAAAGTCTACTGCAACGTGTAGGTACTTTATTAAACAAAATGAGGTATTCCTTGAAAATGCCAAGGCAAAAAGTTCCAAGATGAACGTGTGTAATAAAGAAAGCAGGTATGCTAAGAACGTAGCGAATGACATTCCATAATGTCTATTTATCCCACTGGACGACTGGCGCAATGAATGATACCTAGGTATGAAATGTTTTGATAGTCGAGTGTATTTATGGCAAGAAAATACAAACTAGTTTTGGAGTAAACAAAAAGAAAATGAAAAACTTAAAAAAACCAATAATAATAAACGTGACAGACTTTAGTAAATCACATCAGCGCAAATAAAGTTTCTCGGATACAATGTTCAAATTGGCAGATTCCCAGAAAAGATAAATCAGAAGTCAGTTTTCAGATAGTAATTTGTGTTTCAAACACGAAAATGAAAGTCAAAACAAATAGCGTTCCGCGAATTGTACGTGGACGCGAAGGACTTGTGGCTCTCTTGAGTAATTAGGTACTTTAAAACTTCAAACACTTAAAGACGTGTTGAAAACTTGGAACCATATCAAAAGAAAAAACTTGGCTTTTTAATCTCTACCGTTGATTTAGAAAACAACATGTTAATAGAACTGCGTTTAAGAACAGCATTAATTATAAGTGACTATTCACATCTGTGTCTTTTCACCTATAGGTAAAAGCTTTGTCTTAACTGCTCTTTATCAGTACCTATAGCCCGAAATATGATCGGTCGTTATCCCGTTTTTTTTGTCATTTCGATTCTACCGACCTGTAAAGGGTGTTGAAAGCTTTTCTGCATCCGCCAATATTGCAGGCAAATGGTTTAGACTTGGTATGTGCACGGACATGGATTTTCAGACTGTATGATGTGAGAAATGCCTTGTTACATGACTGCATAGGACACTTGAATCTGTATTCACCTGAAACCAACACAAGTTGATCTATCAGTAGAGTTTTGTTAGATTAATCAATGCCACAATAATGTTAATACATAAGTATCGCGAAAAATTTGCTTCTCGTTTTGTACATGATTTTTGAAGTTATCTACTAGTGTCGTGCTCTTTTTATTATCGTTATGCATTTTTTCTGTTTGCAAGGGAGAGATGCTTTATGTATACTTCGAGTCCAAGGCAGTTCAAGGGCTACGTGGGACTAACCCCCAATCCCCACATTCTCACTAAAACCCTCCGACTTTCCATCTAGGCCAGATGTCGTGGTATCCCGAAGATTCATCACTATGACGCCACCATCATCATACCTACTATCGATTCAGAGTATTATTTTCAAATTGTAAACATTGGAGTCTGTTTATAAAACTTTGAATTTGTTTTACTTACAAACATTGAATTTGTTTTACTTTTGCGAGTCAGTAATATGTTTTCATTTCGCATATAATTCATTATATTTTTACTAGTTTCACTACGTTTGTTCCTTTTATTGCTAATTATATAAGTAGTGTCCGCATTCCTGTTTCTTACCTTTGTGTGTCTTCATGTGTGTCCGTAAATTGCCAACTGTACTGTATGTTCGTTCACAACCGTCATGCTCGCATTTGTATCTTGGTGTGTTGTCCTCTGGTTTTCTCCTGCCCATCTCCATTGCTTTGGTGAAGTCACTAGTCTTTGGTATATCTGATAATTTGTCATTGTGCCTAAAAAAAATAGACACAACTCCAGTTTGTTATGTTTCTCTTCATTGAATTGTTATCAGCTAAATGACTTGACAGCCATTAGTAGGTTATGTATAGTTATCGGGTGGTAACGCTATATGTTCCATTTGTGGAATTTGCTTCTGCTTGCGTCTGTCTTACGTTTATAATTATTATATCAGTGTTATGACAAGATTTCAAAACATTACCGGTGACTTTCGAAAAATCGCATTTCCAACAAAATATATTTTGCTTGACTTAATAAACTTTATATAATTCCAGCAATATTCCACAGATATCAAGTTTGATGCAAGAAACAAGAGTTTAGAATTTAAATTCTTGATGTTCTACTGAGTTGTCCTCAAACTACTAGAGAACACAGCTAGGATATTCGCATCGCATCATGATGGTAATGGACCAAAATAGAATGCCCAAAAATGAAACTTGACGAAACAGACCACTTATATACTGTATACAAGAGTGTAAGTGCGAGCGGGACGGCAATAATGTTGACAAACAGCTGATTGAATAATGACCGAAACGACGAAGAAAAGGCGGCAATGCATCGCACTTCAAAAGGTAATTAATTACTTTAAATGAATTACGCAATTTGGAAAAACTTACAGGAATACTTCATGTTTGTCGGTAAAACTGCCCTTGGGAATAGTTTGGTTTTCCGACGTCACTTTATTCTCGTCCGATTTACTGCTGTACCCACGCACATGAAACTCTTTAAAGGCTTTGTCAAATGAATTGAAATTTAGTTCACTATTAATTTTAAAGTTAGTTATAAACAAGTTTGTCGAATTGTTTGTCGGAATATCGGACGAGCCTTTGTCACCGAGCCATGCGGCCATGTTCGATAGTAAATAGTGCTGCCCCGTTGACAATTGCCGTGAACCGGTAACGTGAAATCATAGTCAATCGGCAACACCTCGGTAATATGAGAAGCTAATTCACTAAGTAGTTCATGTGTGGTGCGATAGATGGCGCTGTGTTTATAATGTGCGGAGAGAGCTGGCGGTTGGGCCGGCAAAGTAGGCGCCCGCAGCGACTACTCCCGGCTGAACTCCCGTTATAATGAACACCAACAGCACTTGTTGTCTGCGCGGGCAGTGCGCCGACCGCACGCCCTTCCACTCACGCGAATGTGTCATCTTCACATTCGGACAAAATTTCGCATATAAAAGTGTGCCGCACTAATTAATTCCCGTATCCTATCTAGTGCAATTATCAATAAATAATTTACAAAATGTGTTTAAGAAGTACGTCCGTTTATTTTTATTTGGTAAGTTTATTTTTTTAACAAATATTGTCCTTTCAACTAGTTTTTTGTTTAAAACTTGGAATCGAGGGCGTATAACTGAAACTTGTATAAAGTTAGGTGTGCTTGAATTCTTATTGGTTTCAAAATTTCGAAATCACGATTGAACGGTAATTTCGAGTTCCATTTTTCTTAAACTATTTTCGAAAAATTTGGAATGTCTTGCTAGTTAATATCCTAATAGTTTGTTTTGTTTGATTATAAGTAATATTCTATTTGTTAATCGTACAAATATTAAATGTAGAAGATAACTTGGGAAAGTTTTTCTGCTTTTATTTATTCTATATACCTATCTATTTATAAAGGTAGTTATGAGCTTGATTTTTCCGCACTTAGGATTACTTACCATTGTAGTCGTGTTTTGCATATTTATCCAGTTTATTATTTAGTCAAAATAGTTTTAACTATCGTGATTAAGGAATTATGATAGAAAATAAATCGGCAGTAACAAGATTAATCAACCTTAAAACCAGAAAACGTTCATGGCAAATTGAACAAGAGGAAATTGAACGACCGCTCAAATTGATTTTCAGATGTTTTCAAAGGTACCTATCAATTTATTGACGCTCGACTTAGTTATTGATGAGTAAAAACTGTGTAACTTTAATTACAAAGTATTTTGTCGTTAATAGATGAGAAAATTAAAAATAAGTAACATTTGTACTCAGATTGCGAATTAAAACAATTATGGACATATAAAACAAACACAAAGAATAAATCGTAATCACAAAAAAAAAGTTAAAATAAAGAAATTATAAAAAGCCAATCTAGATGTTTATAAAGGTCCAATCAGTTATATTAAATTGTTAGATGATTTAGAAAACCATGAACGACACCTTGAGGTGTGGAATGACAACAATTACAGACTCATGCTTAGTATTTGGGGACATAAATTAAAAAGATATTTAACTTACAAATATTTGCGTTAGGCACAGAGAAAGGAAGTTACGACTTCCCAACTTGATCTTAAAAAACATGTAACTACGGTCGACTGACTCATCGCCTATGCATTCGGAGCAAACGAACCGTTCAGGGAGATAGGTAAAAAAGGCATGAAACAGTGGGTGAAGCTTATCTCAGGTTTACTGTTAGACAGCACCCGTTGAACATTAACGTGTCATTAGTTGAAGGTTGCTGACCGGCTGGGAAGCCACTATGGGGATTGACGGAATGGATGATATTTATGACCTCGTTGTTTATAAAATGTTAAATCAATCTAAAGTAACTCGTCCACTATGTTGGCCAATGGACATTGATATTGAGCCCTTTGAAAATGTTAACAAAAATATGGAACGACTTAATATAAGTTACATGAAGACTTGATAACACATAAATTTAATCCAGTCTATGATGAATTGTGGGTCAGTGCTCGGATATAAAAAAATAGAATCGTCTTTAATTGACATGCAAATACAAACAATCATAAAATATTAAGTAACTCTTTCATAAATAAAAAAAACAATAGAAAAAATAGGAAAAAATAATAATAATAGAAAAAAAGTTACAGTTAATGAACAAACAAGCAAGAAAAACTTAAAACAAATAAGCAAAAAGGTCCATGACTCAGCATCTAAGGACTATGCTAATTACATAATCCTCGCTGCTTTTCTGCCATGGGCAGTCGTGATATATAAATATAATAATAATTATGTACTTACACAGTCATAGCCCTGCGCTAGGGAAACCCTGTATCGCGGGTGCCATGGACACATACATAGACAACCACAAATCACACCAAAACTCACGAGAGAAATAAATGTAGGCCATATAAATATTTCTCCCGACGCGGGAACCAAACCCGGGATTTCTGCTTGGCACACGAGCATGTTAACAGTTCGGCCACAGAGGCAGTTTTACATCACACACATGTATAGTATATCCAAGCATGATGAAAAGGACTACACTGAAAATTAAAAAACCCTTATCCTATGAAATCAGAACGTCTAGTCAACCTCAAGATATAATAGCCAAGTGTTAAATAGCGAAAATAGATTTTAAATGAAACACATTCAACGCTTCGCTTCTTTAAAGTCATTAATATCTCCTTTAATCTTATCCATAATTCGTTACAAAAATACCAGCAGTTTTTAACATTGCGTATAGAAATCTCGTACATCACTAGGCCATAAAATGTTCCTATAAATACTGCAGTCTTTTAAAATGCATCTATGTAATTTTTATCGAGCTTGGATTAATGTGCATTTTAAATCCGGTTATCAAGATTACCTGACAGCGAAAGCTAAACAAAAAAGTTACTGTAACTTTTCTAGTTCCAACAACAGCAAAAACATTTTTATTTTATACCTACCACTTCGAATAGACGTCCTGATTCAAACCAGTTCCACACTCGCCAAGAATTTGTACGACACTGGCTCTACATGCTTGGTGTTCAAATCAGGTAGGTAATCGCTTTATTACCTCATGCAGAAAGTAGATATGCTGCGAATTTCTAGTATAACATCCCGTGTTAAAAGGTCGTTGGCTTTGAATTAAACGTGAGATAAATTACGTTGAACCGCATGAATGTAAATCTCCGCATTACGATATAATTACTATAACCTTCATGCTACATAATGTACTGTGATATTATGTACAATAACGGGGTTTCGTGCACAACAAAACAAATAATATGTAATAAAAAAACAATATGAAAAACATTAAATTATTAAAACTGTATAAATACTTACATATTTTGGATAGAATCGTTGATACATAGTGCTCCTTAACTGTCATTTTGAAAATCATCTATCAAATTTACTATCATGAACAGTAACGAGAAGTGCGATCCAAAGTCTGACCGCATGAACAGTAAAGGAGTGAGAAAACAAAGAATTGAAGGATGGTATCTTTACCATCCTAACTGGGACCTAAAGAGAGAGCGACAGGGCTTATCCTGGGACCTGAGAAAGCTGAATCGCTCTTTTAGATACCCGGGTGACATTAGGGTTCCCCAAAATATTGTAGAGAACGTACGAGACAGTGTAAATTCTTGCGGAGACGGATGGGAAGCCACCTGAGTTGACTGCGACACTGTGAGATTCGGTCATATATACGAAGGCCAGAGATGAACCTTATACACAGAGTTTGCAATCGTTCAAGCTTATTTAACAGCTCTTCAATAGCATCTAAACAGCAGGAAGCAGCATTGTCTAAGAAGGGTAAAAGAAGAGATTGGGCTAAACAGATTTTGGATTTTAAAGGCAAAAAGTTGTTTGTTATTTGTGTGAATCTCTTTGCTATTGTGTAATTTATATAATTTTCGTTCCAGTTTAATGGCTATTGCGAACTTTTTCGTAGATCTTTAGAGATCTTTCTTTGAATAGATGTATTAGGTACCTTGGTCCTTTACAATTTCTTCAACTCTGGCTGTCTTCCGTTCTGGTTTACAATTTTGCGTGAATCTTTATTCCTTAAAACAACGTTTATTACTTTGTAGTGTACTCATGTTTACATTATTCCAAAGAAACAGTGAAACTTGCATCGAACTTAGCATTAAATCTAGCTTTCGCTATCTCGGAAAGCGTACTGCATGGTCGGTGGACGGAAATCGAGGTATTAAAATGTCGGTTCAAGAACGTGCTTGTCATACAATGAACCCAGGAGACCGCTAACCACTTTCGCTGGTTTTCCTATATACAATTTTCACTTTTGTATTAATTACATACCTCTGGGATTCATAACATTATAGTAATGTAATCGATCCCTAGAGAGACGTTGCGTAAACTGATATTGCGTTGAATTCGTAACTGATGGAAAGGGTGATTTAACATTTGAATCATATCTATTGAGGTTTGTTTTTTTACACACACTCATTGCCCCGATATAGGGAAACCCTGTACCGCGGGCTGGCGCCATGGATACATACAACCACAAAGTACACCCAAACTCACGAGATAAATAAATGTAGGCCGTCCAAATATTTCTTCCGATCCGGAAATCGAACCCGGGACCTCTGTGACGCAGTTCAGGATGATAATAGTTCGGCCACGGAGGCAGTTAATGTAGGTTTCTGTTAGAGACGTAAAAATGAGCTCTTGGAACGCAATATTTAGCGATAAGGCTTTTTAAACATTGTTTGGGCTTATCGCTGTATATGAGAAAGTCTGTCAACAGTGCAGGAAAAGTGTTACGTTATAAAATTTTATATTTATTATTTTAATAAGATGGCGACATGAAATGAGAAAGCCATGTAAAAATTACTGTTGTTTGTAACTCGTAATTGCTCAATTTCTCTAGTCAAAATGCAATAAAACTGCGCCGATCACCTGTCACCGTGTGTACTGTATAACATGACAGTCACATGTGAATGACCCAGAATTCGGACTCTTCACACTTTCTTCTTAGAAATTCTTCCAATTACTTGGTTAATATTTTTTGCCAAGTACATATGGCCTAATTATACTGGTACATTACTTTTCGATATTATTCAGCAAACTTTGGACTCTGTAACTACTAAATTCGAGGCAATGACGATGGCTCTGCATAGACTCCGAATATCCAAATTTACGAAAAAGTCTTGGGCTTTATAACTTTTAAAACCTTTTTGCATTTAACTTTATAATATATGCCAGCTGTAGGTAACACTTGTCATGTGCGATGATATGTGGTTAAACAATGGCGACCCAGAAATGAGATACTGGTACTTTCTTGGGTTTTTCAATTGTTGCCTGCTGTTGTGATTCCGTTGCTTCTCAGAGGGTCTAGCCATAATTTTATTATATCTCACCTGACCTAACCAAAGTGAAAGGGTACTTTGGTTTTTATCTCAAACGTACCTGTTGTTTATACACCTGTCATTGAGTTGCATTTAATAAGCGAGAAATTCGATTTTTGAACTTTCTTCTTGACTGTCCATTTTCCGATTCATTGGGTGTCACCTCTTATGTATGCAAGTTGTTTGACGGTCTTTCAAGGCCTAATAATAAAACGCCTCATATATAGGTACTTGTTAAGAAGAAACACCATTGGTATTGAACATTGCATTCCAAGTCACGTCGTTGGCTCAAAAGTGTCATGATTATAAAATAAGATAAAATTAAGATTGCAAATAAGCAGGTCTAGTACAAATTGTTTAGTCATCGTTTGGTTTTGTCCTAAATTAGACAATATGACGACGCTTTGCCGATTATATTGGACTGGCATAGAAAAGATTGTTATGTAGGATCGATACAGCTAGAAGAGCCTACCGTTTATACCTACTTGCGTGTAAGTAAGTATTTCCAAATAAGAGCTATATTGTTTACATTCTTTAACATAAGCATTTAGTTTGTCGTTGTCCCATTTACGTCCGCTAATAGCCGGATAACGCAAACCAGTGCCTAAAAACGGAATCCAAGAAAGTTTTTATAAACTTTCATCTGAACTGACAATGGCTTATCATCTTGTTAACCGGCAGAAACGTTTTTGTTTGGTCACGCCGGTCACGGCTAGCTCCTTTGATCTTTGTACATCGATTGTTTGGTTTAGTTACAATTTATTGGGTGTTTTGGGAGAGCAATGGATGAGAAGGTGCTTTGTATAGGGGAAAAGGACCGCGTGAGGTGGTTACGGGAACTGTGTCAATGTGCCATGACATACATACCGCGCACGCGCGGCGGATGGATCATGCGACAACCGATCATTTATTACATTTATGATATCGACGTGCATACGATGCTAAGTTACTGTCCTGATTCTGTTCACACGTGCTCTACAGTTCCTTGGTGTAGTCTGGGGTATATTTCCAGGTCAGGAACCTATTTTGCCGGAATAATTGTACTGCAATAAGTAGAACTCTGATGGAACTAAGCAGATTCATAACATCGTTGTCGATTGAACTGTGTGAAAATCTAATGTTCTTTAAATGGTGAATACTTACTACACAGATCTGAATGAAGCGCTGCGGTATTTTTAGCTAGTACCTCCTTTAGTTTCGTGCTTCTGGTGACTCCGCCTAGGTTTTACATAATATGTTATAGATAAATAATCATACGGTACGTGTAATATGTTGACTCGTACAAAACAGGTAAAAATACCGCTTTTTAACGCGTACTGTCAGGTGTACCTAGGCCTGCGTTCAAGATGCTAAAGGGGCGGCCGTGGAGGTGTAGTGCATCGGGCATACATGTGAGAAACTGTTAATCTGTGCTGGAACGCCTTTGAGGTAGTTCCAACAGCGTTCTGTGTGGGTTCTCAGACCGGTGGGACTCGACACTCCTGCGGAGATAGACTGAGCTCCACAACGCAACTTAATGATATATTGCCCCTCATAATAAGCTCATAAGTTAAATGTTACTAACACTATATGGATTTTATCTGAAATCAATGTTTTGAATTAAACTGAGATGTGTAACAATCGCCAAAACCTTTGAATTCGATATTTCTTGTATTCGGTAGGTATGGATTTCGGCATTCGGAACCTAACAGGGTACGGTTTTGCACAGGTTAGTTTCGGTACATTTAATGTTGAGTGGTTTTAATCCGTTTTGTGGGAGCCAACAGGTAGATAGTGTGTAGTTTGGATTCTACTGTTTTCTTAATGTATTTTTCTAATGGGGCTGACATGTTCAATAATGATCAAAGCCCCTAAATAAATAAAGACAAAAGAAAATCAAAGTTAATTGTTATTTTATTTTTATTTTACCAACCGTTCTTGTGTTTATCCTTTCCAGACTTTCCTAGCAAGCTATGTGTTAGCGGACTGCGGACCAAGACTGAAATACGCATGGGGAGATGCGCTCCAAGGCACAGACTGCGCGGGACCAGATGGATCTCCGTACCCTAGGTAACTACACTTACTCCATGGTACGAAAAAGCGGGAAATTCATAGTGACAGGCATTCAGAGCTATAAATCGCAAATGTCTGAGGGGCACTCGTGCCTGTAATTTCACCAGCACCCTTACCTTTCAAAACCGGAACGCAGTAATGCTCATATTACTGCTTGGCGGCAGAAATAGGTAAGGTGGCAGTACTTCCCTGGACGAACTTTTTCACAAGGAGCTCTACTGCTACTAATTTAAGGGTCGTATTCCAGAACTCTACTCAATACTCAAGTCAGGACTTGAGTAGTGCAGTGAGCACTGAAAATCATACTCAAGTCCTTGCCATTAGGGTCGTATTTCCAGTGCTTGAAATCATACTCAAGTCTGCTGAAATCCTGACTTGAGCATTGAATATAGTTCTGGAATACGACCCTTAGACTTAAAAAAAAGGTATATAAATAATAGGATAATGTGCCATAGGCGGCTTTACTGTAGTAATTTCTTTCAAGCAATTCCAGGATAGAAGCCGTGGTACCTTAATGCGTTTACCTACCGCCCTCGAACAGAGGGTCTTGAGTTCGAATCCTGGCTTGCACCACTGCGTTTCGGAATATATGTATTATTATTATGCGCGATTAATTTGAAATTTACCATGAGCTTTTCGATGAAGGAAAACATTGCGAGGAAACCTGCCAGTCCCCTGAAGTCCCCAACCCGCACTCGGAAAGCGCGGTGGACTAACCCAAAAGCGGCCTAAATCTACGCCTGGGAGGAGACCCATTTCCGGCAGTGGGACGTATAAATTGGTTAATGATATTCATTTAATACTAACAAAGGAAGTAATGAATGAATAAAATATTCTTTATTCTCATAAAATTAAAGCGGTAACTTCCAAGCAATCTTAGGATAGAAGGAACCTATTACTGAGGGTGTCACGCCGTTTTCGTAAATTGCAACGGTACAATAAAGTCGTTCTTTGCTAAGCAACTTAAGGTATGTTAGCGTCTTTACTTTAGTTAAAAAAAAGTGTCGACAAGATGATAATAAACTAGCAATACTTTTCAAATTAACACAGACTATAAATGGTTTACCGATCTCGTCCTTTTACTAGTTGGTATCGTTCGTTGACCTAAATTCTAGCGGTTAGTTGCTGCTACAGTCGCGGCCGTGATTGACGAGAAGCGATGCTATATTTAAGCTATAATGACCTTAATGGTATAATGTCCGGGTACCGGACTTCAAACGCTTTTAAGTGGGCTCCTTTAGAAAATTTCAATGCTTACGAAGTTAATTTATACTTACTGTGCACAACAAATGATTTATTTTATTATAGACAGCAATTGTTGTCGGTGTAGTTTTTGTAGGAGTACAGGCTCCTTGTGAAAGATTTCGTCCAGGGAAGTACTGCCACCTTACCTATTTCTGCCGTTATGCAGTATTGTGAGCATTTTTACGTTTTGGTTTTAAAGGGTGCTGGTGAAGTTACAGGCACATGGGACTGCTCAGGTGACGGGCGCAGTGGCAGACCACTCAGATCTTTGTGATTTAAAGCACGGAGTGGTATTGCGACTGTTTGTTCTGTCACTTGGTATCATAGAAAAGGTTGAAAATTTTTAGAATGTTTGCTTTAGTTTTTTTTTAATGTTACTTGTTTTGTTATTGACTCGGCGTTGAGGCTATGTGAGAAGGGTTGCCTTGGTTCGAGTATACTTAGGACTGAATGGAAGCGAATTTTTCTAACGATATTGTACATAGCATAATGAACTAAAATTATTTCCTGAACTTTAACAACAATGCGTATTAATAGTGGCATTGTGTTTTACAAACTAATTTAAAAATTAGCGCTTACTAACGTGGGCAGATGGCGCTAATCCTGAACAAAATAAAAGAATATCTGGCAGTATACTTAAAAATGATTGCAACAAGCGCCATCTAGTTTATTGGTTTGTTACCTCTACAAATTAGAGTAGCTTTGGTAAAGTGCAGCTGGTCAATGTAAAACAAATTGGTTACAAAAATAGCTATTTGGTATTCGTCGCGACATCTGTTGTACGAAATATTACTAAGTACCTGACTACGTTTTCTTGTATCGGGAGTCTTCTTGAGTTATTGGTTCATGGCTGTACACTACGGCTACTACACATTTGTTGTAAATATTATTCGAAAAAAGAAGGTGTTCTTGCATTGACTTACAATTATATGGACGTCGGGTCCGCGCTAAAAAGTGTCCGAACTTATAGGGCGTTAAAATCGTATACAGAGCGTCATTCACGCTTTAGTCTTCGTTTGTTCGACTGACAGCGAAGCAAGCAAAATTAGACAGTACTGCGATGACATTACAATTTAAATCCAACGTTTTAGCTTTTTCATATTCCTTTACATCTCACTACGTTTAAATAGGTTGACTTGAGACGTTTTTTTCGTGGTTTTTGTATTAGACCCGTCGTCCATTTATTTGTAAGTCAATGTGTTCTTGCAATACTATTGTGCTATATTGAAATAACTTTGGTAAAATGCATTGGATACTTCGTATTCATATTTTTGTACCAGTATCGCGATTTGGTACACACACATAGACAACCAAAATCCAAACTCACGAGTTAAATAAATGTTGGCCATACAAATATTTTTCCCGGCCCGGGATCGCACCCGGGACCTCTCCATAGCAAATCAGCATGGTACCTAATCGTGCAAAACAGGCAGCGGTAATCAATATTAAAATATGAAAAATGTGTATATAATTACATTCGCAATGATTAATGTTTTATAATTATTAATAAATAGATCGAACATAAATAAAAATTCCTTCTAGACCCAAACCAGCGATCTCGCCATACTGTGGCATCAGCAGTGGCTCTGTCAACTGAGCTATAGAACGTACCAACAGACCTTACGAATTTACGTCCGTCCTTCAGAATTTACGTCCAGCCGGATAGAAGGAGTTTTTTTTAAGAGTTCGATCTTCTATATTAATAATAATTAAAACATCGTGATATTTATTAAACTTAATAGATCTGTTTTTTGTTTGATATTTGTATAAATTTACCTAAATTACATCTCAGAATGTAATGTTGCTCGTTTCTCATACTTTTCCTATGTGACTAATTTCGTTGAATCCATTAAACTATTGCTTAATGTTCTTGTATTAAAAGTAAAAAGAATTTTAACAAGGGTATGTTGTTCTAAGGTTTTAAAAATCGCTTCGATCTTCAAACCAATTCCCAGTATCCACGATAGATATTTCTCGTCTTATCCAATGGACATTCCATGCCAGTGACAAATATAGGTGCTATTGCGTCTCGGAATTTATGGTTTATGAGCGAATCTTCTTAGCGAAATGAAAAAGAAATAGATAAGAAAACAGAACGAGAAAAATTATCAAAATAATGTGAATTACGCTGAATGTACTGATTTGCGTATCTAATATATTTCTCATCTTTTTGTGTGAGACAAGTTATATTATACCGCTTTGGCAGCTTAGAAGGAATAATGAGTAGTCAACGTACTATATTTACGTATGTAAAGTAGGTACTGTTTAGACATATAGCTATATAGATCGGTTTTTTTATGATACTAAGTCTTCACTTAGTTAGACGAACAAAGTCGTTGTCTGGTGGTAAGCGACACCCCTGTCCCTAACAGTTGCAGTGCCACTGAGTGCTTTAAATCACAAAGATCTGAGGGGCACTGCCTTTGCGCCAGACATCCTGAGACTAAAGCTGACAATGCTTTGTATTTCACCAGCACCCCATGTACATTTTTATGATAAAATAAGTGCGCATTTTACATCCATCTCAACTGATGGAAAGTGACGATGAGGTCAACAATGGTGTATGCACACCTAAACAGTGCCTATACACTCTCACCTTGAAAAGGCCCAAGTTACAGCGTCCAGGGGCGAAAACACGATTTCTAAAAATTTTCACGATAGAAAAATAACAAACTTACCTCGAAATTTTACAAGAAAACCTGTAGCTGTATTCAATAGGTATTTTACCAATACCAATGATTTTTTTTAATATCAAGTCAACTAAATAGACTACGTATACAGATTCCACACTACGACAAACATATTTTCCATATTTCCACTCCATAATGTCGTATGGTACCATTCTATGGGGTGACTCCACTGATTCTGACAGGGTATTCATTATTCAGAAACGAGCAATGAGGATACTTGCCGGAGTAACATGAAGAGTCTCTTGTAGGGACTTATTTGTGAGACACAGGATGATGACCATGTATTCGTTGTACTTATATGGCGTAATCACATTCATACGAAAAAACTTACACAACTTTGAAAGGCATGAAAGCCGTTATAACACCCGCTCCACAGGACGACTGAGGGTCGTACCGCGACGGTTAGCACTTACTGAAAAAATCCGCGCGTAATCGGCCCGGCTTATTATGAGCACCTACCCGTTGACTTAAAAAGTAAGCCTTATGATGAAACATTTGATCGTCGACTGATAGACTTTTTGTTGGATAATGCGTGTTATTCCACTGAAGAATATAGGGACATGGTCTTGTAATATATGTTGTAATTTATAGATTATTAGGTAGATATAAATATTATTCTACAGAAATGAATAAATTACATAAACTTTATGCATACAATCATTATATTGACATACTTATTATTATATTATTTAATATGTTCCCTTATTATTTCACATAACTACATTGACTATGTTAAAATTACGTAGTACAAAACTTGTACTGGATGTTTGTAATTTTTTGAAATGTAACATATATTACTATTTGTAACGATTCTTGTAATACAATATATTGTTAATAATAATGTAAAGTTTACAAGATAATAAATAAATCTAAATCTATAGTATACGATATACATTTTTCAAATAGCTTTTTACAAACGAAAAAAAAAATTCTGAAATAAAGCCCGTATTCCTACCGCTCGACTCTTCAGTATGATTCCAAACACTGAAGGATACAAAGGACGTTAGTGACATAACTTTCTGTTCTGACAAGTTATATAACGTTACAGAAATGGTTGGTTATGTTAACAAGACTCATAGTTCCCAGCAAAGCGTTGTTCCTATTCTTCCGCAAATCTCATAAACCCGTGGCATTTCTCACGAGTCCCGTTAGACGCATTAGTGCGTTCATCCTCACCTCTCGTGGGATTTTTCTCACCCACTAGCAAATGAACGACGCAGTAGAGTAATTTTCTACGTAACTCTTAGCAATTTCATTATCATTACCATCATTATCTTTGCGTTGTGCAAAGTGTAACGGCAATGATTTTAACGCCATCTGATGTCATTAGCAGACAATTATTTGCTGTTCTCGTGCTTGAAAAGTCGATTCATTGTTTGCGACCAAGGTTCCTTCAAACGTGCCTCATCTAACATATGGATCAGCCTTTACACGTAGAAGGAGTAATGTATCAATCGAGTCATTGTAGACTTTCAGACGCAATATCTGACATCTGACAAGCAATCCAAGGATGCAGGTTTGCACTTGTACGTGCGTGTTTCTATGTGTGTGTGTGTATGTTTACGAGTATTTTTATGCTTGTTAATTCTTGGGCAATGTTAAGCATTAGATTATGGTGTATGTCAGCGACGCTGTGTCATAACCCTGTTTCAGATGTCTGTTATATTATTCAATTGACGAGCAATTCCACATAGCCAAACCATTAAGCCAGTCTAGTGAAAAGTACGAAATTCGCAACGTCCATCTGCACTACAGCCAGTACTACAATAAGTTACCTACCTTAGATTCTTTACTAAATAGCAGGGCAAATTATAATAGTGTAGTGGCTCAGGATGCACGTTCACACAAGACTGAGGGTCGTATTCCAGAACTCTACTCAATACTCAAGTCAGGACTTGAGTATTGCAGTGAGCACTGAAAATCATACACAAGCCCTTGCCATTAGGGTCGTATTTCCAGTGCTTGTGTTGCCAGTGCAATCCTGACTTGAGCATTGAGTAGAGTTCTAGAATACGACCCTTAGAAATCGTTCTAATTTTGTCGATTGTCTTTATCACTGGTTTGGAGATACTCCATAATGGATTGACTCTATTTACACCATGCCAATAATGGTTTGGCTTAGCGGAATGACTCGTCGATTGGCTCCGTGTAAGCGATCCTTTACAGAATCTCGTTGAAGTAAAATTGTACTTTCAAATCACAAACATTTATTTTGGTAGCTGAACATATAAATGTTACAAACACAATATTATAAAGAAACTGTTTCAGATTTTTGCAAAGTCCCAACTATCGACCGTACTAGAAGATTGATCGGATAGTTAATATTACAACTGTGCAAGGCTTTATTAGGAGTATCCTACTCTCCTGTTTCAGGCACTTGGTGAACAGGGCGCTAAAGTCAGGTCCATGGGGCCAGTCCTCGCGGCAGGCGCGCACCGCACGGACACTCGACCCGGCCATCATGCGGCGCGCGCTGCTCGACGCACACGCAGGCTACTCCGAAAGGCCCATGACCACGGCTGGTGGAGGGAATAGAACGGGTTCGTAAACAATTACATACTGCCGGGGCTTGTTATGATTTCCATTCTATTTAGTCGTGTTCTTCATTGCTGAAGATGTCCTAGAAATTAAGTTTTATTGAATGTTTCATCATTCATATTTTTTTTTGTGAAATTGCTCCATAAGTTTGTTATAATTATTAATACAAAGATCGAACTCTTAGGAAAAAAATCCTTCGATGCGGCTGGGTTCGAACCAACGCCTTCTAGCAAAACGTGCTAGAGGTTATGCCAAAAACAAGCCGCGGACCTTACGAATTTTTCTATGAGCTTGTTGCAGATCTTTGTCTTGGTATTTTTATCGACTTTTTGCCGTAGCGCTATCTGAGACATCTATTTCTTCACTCAGTTACCAGCAGCTGACAAAAGATGTCGCTTTAATAAATTGTAATTAAGTTTCATTGCATGCCAGGATGTTTCAGCATTGTCATATTGATTACTGATTGCCTTCTTTATGCTTATTTTGATAGTTCGCCTACTAGTATAGAATTTTTTTGTATTCCTATACATTTTAATAAGAACAGGCAGATTTGAACTTATACATGTTGAATTAAAATGAAAAACTTTAAAATATGTTTTCGTATTTTTAATAACATAGTTCTAAATGCAAGTGTATGTATGTATGAACTTACAAAATTTGACAAATTAAATGAAACTATCCCCAGTAGTTGGACAAATATTAGACCGGTGATGATTCAAATGAAACAAGTTCAGCTATTTATTGCATAAGCGTGACCAACATTCAGTCGAGAGTCGGTAAAATATTAAAAGATACTATACCTGTTATTAAGATATTAAGACATGTTATTAATTACAATGTGTATTTAGAGACTACTCAAACATTTTTTAAATAATTGGAAGTAATAATATGAAATTTCAATGAAAACAGTCTCATTAAATAATGATATATGAGATAAATGAAATATGAGATAAATGGCATAACCAGCGCAGAATAGGCACCATCGGATGTGGGGATAGTATTTATTTGCGAACTAGCAAAAAAAATCAGTAGAACAATATCACCCTTTTAACGGAACTCGAAATAATTATATAAATATACAGTTTTTTTTAATGGGACAGAGTGGGGAAATCCGAAACCATAGAAGATACAAGGTCACTGGAAAACTGTCTCTGGAGGAAACTGTCTTAGGAACCAACCACTGAGTCATTTTGCGTTAAAAAAAATTTCAATTTTATTCATTTTGTATGAAAATATTTTATGAAATTTGACTAACTTCTGCTGTCCCGAGTTTTTTTTTCCCATACAATGAAATGACCCCTACTTGAAACTGAGTCGATTAGCATTAAAAAAAATTTTGATCAATTTTAGTCATTTTTATGGTCAACTCAGACTTGACCAAAAAATCGACTATACTAAAATTGTTTTCACGAAAGAAAACGCCTAATAGTTCTTAACAAACGAAAACACAAAACACAAACGAAAACAGTTTCCTTGTATCGTCTATGGTTTCGGATTTCCCCATACTATCCCATTAAAAAACACACTGTATAATAATGACATTATTATATTATAATAGGTAAAAATATAACAATTATATAAATATCACCTAATCATTGCATCGTTTCTCGTTTTCCAAAGGTCGGTCAAGCAACGTACCAGGGCTGTCACCGATGAGCACGAACTCGTGTGGCGGCACGCGCCTTTGCCGCACGAGGTACAACACCACTGCACCCATGTACGGTGTGTCCTTAACGTCGGGACAGCCTGTTACCATCGTCCAGAAGTTCCCAGACTTATTGCAGCAGGTTGTTTTTGAAGTTTGCGAGTGAGTATCCATTGTACACTCAGCCACAGTTTAAGCTATCACTTTTTAATCGATCTCAAAAAGGAGGAGGTTCTCGATAATTTTGTTTTATGTCTATGACCGTGCATTGTATTCAAACAAACCGACTTTTCTGGAGTTCTCAATACGATCGACTGTATTTTTTTTGTTTATGTTACTTGATTACTCAGGGATTTGTGAACCGATTTTGATGATTCTTTTTTGTTGGAAAGGGGGTACCTCAGTATCATAAATAAAAAAAAAATAAAAATAAAAATCTTTTATTTTCAGACACCATAGGTCCATAGTTTCTTAGTAAGCAACCTTATACTATATTAGTAACAAATGACTGTATGGTGAATTTATGGTGTATTGTATATGAAGTGTACATTAAACTTTTAAAGTCGAAATGTCAAAATATTCAAAAGTATCGATTCCATTTAAATTTGAAGAAAACATTCCACCTCTAAGGGTGGCAAA